TAGCCACACTGTACCTGCCCAGAAGCCCACCACTACCTCCTGTTCCAACTATTTAGCCACACTGTACCTGCCCAGAAGCCCACCACTACCTCCTGTTCCAACTATTTAGTCACACTGCACTTAGAACATAAGAAAGAAGGAACACTGGAACAGGCCAACTGGCCTATACGAGGCAGCTGCAATAAAAACTTGCCCAGGAGCCCCCCACTACTGTAATCTACTCACAGGAAATGAACAGGAAATGAACAGGAAATGTTATTTTAGTGCCAGTGTTGTCTGAAGTGTTTATTCTGGACCCTATTTTGAAATGACAATTTTTTAATTTTGTGCAAAATTGGCCAAATTACCGATTTTCGACCACTTCTGGTCGCATTTCATGTCCAGTAGTTCCTTGTAAATAGCTTGTTGAGGTGTGGAAAAAGATACTTATGTACAGCTCAGGGTGGAAGGTCGAGGCTGACCACCTGACTGATCCCACTGTATATACTCGTTTTCTTAGTTTTATCTATATTAGGACTGAAAAAGTCACTCGTGGGCGAAACGTTTCCTCTAATAAATGTTCCGAACTGTACATAAATGTATTTTTCCACATTTTCTCGGTATCACCAGACCATTTCTCAGTTCGCTGAGAACTTCGTCTTGCAGACTGCCAGCATTCTGGTAACTTCACGATTCTCTCGTCTTGTACATTAGATTCTCTCCGCGTAGATCAACGCTTGCGACTCTGAGATACAAATCCAGTAGAGTATACTAACAGTATGTAAATAAGGCACGTAGTGTGGCATGTGGCATTTAATTGTGAAGACGCTACGTACCAGGGACTATAATTGATAAATGTAGATAAGTAATATCCAAAATAAATGGAATACCACCCATTTTCCATGTGATATAATATATATATATATAATATATATATATATATATATATATATATATATATATATATATATATATACATACAAGTACAGGTAGGTTCACCAGGATGGGTCCTGGCCCAGGTCTTCACCAGGATGGGTCCTGGCCCAAGTCTTCGCCAGGATGGGTCCTGGCCCAAGTCTTCGCCGGACGGGTCCTGGCCCAGGTCTTCGCCCTGCGGGGACCTGGTAAGTCTATATATGTGATCGTGGTTGTACCGAACTATCTATTGTGGTTTTGTGGGTAGAGTTTGTTCTTGGCCCCAATTCAGCATCTCTCTAATGAATTTTCAGTTTTAAATGGCATCTCTCGTACCTATTCTTAACGCTGTGTTCTGAGTCTGATGTCCACCCAGTGTTATTATGTACTGACAAATATATTACTAAGACAAAATATGCTATTAACCGTATATTGTGAACATTGACGGTTTTCGAAACCATTTTTATTACATTATGTTGCAGTGTCCGACAGATTACATTAATTTCATTAAAATGGATTTTCCCCTTTTCGGAAAGTGTGTATATGTGTGTATATTTAGCGGCTTGAAAAAAGCTCCTGGAGAGCGAAACGTTGCCACAATAAAATGTCACATTAGTTGCACTTGTGTCCTTTTACTTTACTTGTTTAGTCTTCTTTCTCTGTCTTCAATTTCTTGCATTTCTGAGTCTATCACTTCCCTACTCTGGCCCCACCTTTATTTGTTATTCTTATTACTTATAAACAGATAGCAAAAAGTGAGGAGTAGAATTGCTTCTTGTAAATTGTGTGTGTGTGTACTTACCTAATTATCGTAGCTATTTGTGGTTACAGATGTCGAGTCTTACCTCCTAGACCCACCTGTTCGCTGGTTACTACTTGGTCCATTCTCTCCCTGCTTCATGAACCCTATCGTATCTCTTCATAAAACTATGTGTGGATCCCGTGTGTGTGTGTGTGTGTGTGTGTGTGTGTGTGTGTGTGTGTGTGTTTTATGGTCTGCTTTTAGTTATTCTTCAGGAGGAAACTAACCAGCGAACCCCCCCCCCACACACACACACACAACACGCACACACACACACACACACACGCACACACACACACACACACACACAGTGTGTGATGTGGTGGAGGCAGGAACCATACATAGTTTTAAGGCGAGGTATGATAGAGCTCATGGGGCAGGGAGAGAGAGGACCTAGTAGCAATCAGCGAAGAGGCGGGGCCAGGAGCTGTGACTCGACCCCTGCAACCACAAATAGGTGAGTACAAATAGGTGAGTACACACACACACACACACACACACACACACACACACACACACACACACAAATAATCCACATCATCTAAACAAAGATCTGATCGAAGAACCATGAAATGCCAGTCACTCTGCAAATATCTCCACCCCCACCTCTCCAGCACACTGGTTTTCCACCCACTACCTCTCCAGCACACTGGTTTCCACTCACCATCTCTCCAACACACTGGTTTCCACCCACTACCTCTCCAGCACACTGGTTTCCACTCACCATCTCTCCAACACACTGGTTTCCACCCACTACCTCTCCAGCACACTGGTTTTCACTCACCATCTCTCCAACACACTGGTTTTCCACCCACTACCTCTCCAGCACACTGGTTTCCACTCACCATCTCTCCAACACACTGGTTTTCCACCCACTACCTCTCCAGCACACTGGTTTCCACCCACTCTCCACACACTGGTTTCCACTCACCATCTCTCCAACACACTGGTTTCCACTCACCATCTCTCCAGCACACTGGTTTCCACTCACCATCTCTCCAGCACACTGGTTTCCACTCACCATCTCTCCAACACACTGGTTTCCACTCACCATCTCTCCAACACACTGGTTTCCACTCACATCTCTCCAACACCTGGTTTCCACTCACCATCTCTCCAACACACTGGTTTCCACTCACCATCTCTCCAACACACTGGTTTCCACTCACCATCTCTCCAGCACACTGGTTTCCACTCACCATCTCTCCAGTACACTGGTTTCCACTCACCATCTCTCCAACACACTGGTTTCCACTCACCATCTCTCCAACACACTGGTTTCCACTCACCATCTCTCCAACACTCTGGTTTCCACTCACCATCTTTCCAACACACTGGTTCCATTCACCAGTTCTCCCACACTACATCCGCCCCTCTAACAAACCATTTTGTAGAAAATGTTTCGCCCACACAGTGGTTTCTTCAGTCCAATTCAGAAAACGGTGGAATAAGAGGAGGAGTTGGAGGTAATCAGTCCCTCAGCCTTGAATCATTGTGTTAGTCCATCAGTTCACATTTTATAGGTATAAGACATGCACTGATAAAAAAAACATTAAGGAAATATTTCGCTACTAGTGATTTCTTCAGTCCTAGTACAGAGACTCTGATCGCGGGTTCTAACCCCGCCCGTGGTATGGTTTCTAGTGGAGAAAATCGGAAACGAACAGCACATATAGTTAGGTAAAAGGACACATATAGACCACGAGTAAATAACAGAAAATGGGTGTTTTTCCATTTATTTTGGATATTACAATCAAATGGCACATTAGTTGTACTTGTGACCTTCTGTCTAATGTATTGTCGGTAATTCTATCAACATTATAACAGGATGAATATAATAATGGTGATGGATTGATTACATCGTCTTTACTTCTCTGTTAATTCTTCAACACTTGTCCAATCTTTGGACGAAGACCTACTTACACTTGTGGAAGGTTGCACTGTGATCCCGCCTCCTCCTGCTTCCACTCACCTGACTACAGTATATAAGTCACTTCTCCGGCCATATGCTGTACTTTCTACAAGAGTGATGGACTGAACACATTGATTCCAGGTTGAGAGACTGATTACCTCAAACTCCTCCTCTCCTTGCACCTTTCTGCTTTGTAATAGACTGATGCAGCCACTGTGTGGCAAAACGTTTCCTCAGTAAAGATTCCCATATGTTGCATAAGTGTCTCAATTTTCAATTCTTCTGGTAGCAGCTGTGTGTTGAAATGTTGACAAGAAAGTTTTTGCTTCACTCATTCATCATCCTAGTCCTCAATATTTCTGGTTCACCGTATAGTTCTCAGTTCATGTCGGACTAAATTTTTGGGGGGTTGAAATCTCCCATGATTAGTAGCTCAGATTTTTGCCATTTGGACTTTTTTTTTACTACTACTCCTACGGTGTGATCCATTATTTTGTTGTTGTCCGAGTATTCCTGTGTTAGTTTCCTTTATTTGGTGGTGGGTTGTAGATCACTGCTTTGGGTTCTCTAGTCTTGTTTGTGCCAGCTGTGTAGTCATTTAACATTTCTCTTCACTAGTTCCATCTCTTCAAACTCCACTACTTCCTGATTAGCAGTGCATCTCCTCACACTTCCCTGTTTCTTTTCTTTTTCTCGAGTACTTAATATCATGTTGGGAATATAGCATCTATTATTTCTCTTGGTTTTTGTCTCTGAGAGCAGTGATGTTTATGGCTGACTCTATTATTCCTTCCTTCATTTCATCACTCTTATTGGTTAAACCATCTGCATTTATGTGCTATATTCTGAGTTTGTTTCCTTTGTTATGATTGAGTTTGTGGTGTTCAAACGTTCTATTGGTTACGTATCTATCAGGAGGTTGGAGGGAAAGCTAGAGGTGGTGTGTACATTGCTACAGAGGGAGTGGAATGGGTGGTAGTTGTCAGACAGAGAGATGAGGGGGTGGCAGAATGACAATATTCACCTACATGTGGCTGCAGGAGTTAAGTCACAGCTCCTGACTTCGTCTCTTCACTGATCGCTACTAAGTCCATTCTCCCTGACACTATGCTGGTTATCGTGTATAATCTTATTCATTTCTAAGTGCTCCACCAGTATTTTCCTGATAAGCTTCTCCATGACTTTGCATACTACAATTATCAGTGACACTGATCTATAGTTTAATGCCACCTGTCTGTCTCGTTTCTTAAAGACTGGGACTACGTTTGCCGTCTTCCACACCTCAGGTAGTTGCCCTGTGTGTGTGTGTGTGTGTGTGTGTGTGTGTGTGTGTGTGTGTGTGTGTGTGTGTGTTAAATATACAAATAATTTCCTCTTTATTTCCACCCTTAGCAGGTGGTGTTGAGGAGCAGTAAGGTTGGGGTGGTGTGGGTGGCAGTTGTGATGATGGGTGGCATAATGGGCGGTGTTCTAGCTGGCCCATCAACACTAACTCATCATCAACAAGAACATCAACAGCCTCAACATCCAGACACAACTGAGGTCAGCCAAGACACACACAGCCAACAGCAGAGAGATGGCAAATGTAAGTGAAAACAGAGTAAAATTTTAATGCCGATCAAATCACTTATATAAACTGAAGTGAGACAGCACTTAGTGATGTAATATATATATATATATATATATATATATATATATATTATATATATATTATAGTATATATTAGTATATAATATATATTATACGAATAATAAATACTTAATAAATATATATATATATTATATAGTATTATATGGTATATATAATATAACCTATGGTATTACGTCAAATATGCAGTTCACTTTCTATATAAGCATATATGAATAGTAATATTATTTTATTAATTTATTATTAACAATTATATATCCCAGGGTTCACGTCTATATGTGTATCTAGGCCACTCTCCTGCACGACTTTCATACTGTCTTAAAGCTATGTGTGTGTATTGTACTTACTTTCCTAATTATACTTCATTCTCTAAATTGATGGATTCCTCACCTTTGAGTTGGTTGTCTTACTCGCCTTCGTTGCATGCGCTCTCTGGCGCTACTAGGTCCACTCTCTCCCTGCTCCGTGAACTTTATCATACCTCGTCTTAAAGCTATGTGTGGATCCTGCCTCCACTTCACTTTCCAGACTGTTAGTTAGACTTTCTGACAACTCTGTGACTGAAGATATATTTCCTAACATCCTTGTGACTCATCTGAGTCTTCAACTTCCAATTGTGACCTCTTGTTGCTGTGTCCCATCTCTGGAACATCTTGTCTCTGTCCACCTTATCTATTCCTCTCAGTATTTTATAAGTCGTTATCATGTCCTCCCTATCCCTCCTGTCCTCCAGTGTCATTAGGTTGATGTCCCTTAACCTCTCTTTGTACGACATCTCCCTTAGCTCCGGGACTAGTCATATTGCAAACATGACGTACTTGACCGGGTATGGATTCCAAAGTGGTGCTGCATACTCCAATATAGGCCTGACGTACATGATGTACAGTGTCCGGAACGACTCCTTACTGAGATGTCGGAATGCTGTTCTTAGGTTTGCTAGACGCCCTTATGCTTCAACAGTTATCTGGTTGATGTGCGCCTCAGGAGATGTGCTTGGTATGATACACACCCCAAGATCCTTTTCCATGAGTGAGGTTTGTAGTCTTTGGCCACCTCAGATTGTACTCTGCGGTCTTCTTTGCCCTTCCCTGATCTTCATGACTTTGCATTTGGTGGGGTTGAACTCCAGGAGCCAGTTGCTGGACCAGGCTTGCAGCCCGTCCAGATCCCTTTGTAGTCCTGCCTTGATGAATTAGACACATGTGCAACTCTTGGGTATCTTTATTAAGGAAACGTTTCGCCACACAGTGGCTTCATCAGTCCATACACAGGAGAAGCTTGAAGAATAAAAGGAGAATGAGGTAATCAGTCCCTCAACCTTGAGTCGATGTGGTCAGTCCATCAATCTTGAGTAGAATACGGCATATGAGCGGAGAAGCAGCTTATAAACCGTAATTAGGAGAGGTGCAGCAGTCATAGGTGGTGTCACATTTGCCCAATGTGGAAGTAGGTCGTGCCCAAGGGTTAGGCAAACGAAGAATTCCAAAGTATTAAGATCCCAAGAAGTTGCAGTGTCTGACAGTGTCTGTGAACCATTCATCTACAGTCCTGCCTTATACTCCCCCGACTTAATTCTCATTAACTTCACATCATCTGCAAACAAGGACAGTTCTGAGTCTATTCCTTCAGTCATGTGTGTGTGTGTGTGTGTGTGTGTGTGTGTGTGTGTGTGTGTGTGTGTGTACACACGCGGATTGCTTCCCAAACTAACAATACAATTTATTATTATTATTTTTGTAATACAGCTGTAGTTCTCCTTCAACAGTTACTTTATCAGTAAAGTTCACAATTCCGATGGTTCTGCGAACCGCAGAGTGCAGTCACTATACTTCCTGGTTTATAGTGAAGTCACTATACTTCCTGGTTTAAAAAACCACGTGAGCAAACACCAGGGCATATTAGAAAACGTTTCGGCCCTGAGACCTTGACTGAAACGTTTTCTAATAAATACGTCCTAGTGTCTGTTCATTTGTCTTTCGGAACCAGTTTGTAGGTATCTACTACCAAGACTCACGAAATCGTAATGACACGATTGTAAACAAACCATACCACGGGCGGGGTTAGAACCTGCTAACGCATCGGTCTGGAGTTTTGAGATTCTCTGATCGCAGGTTCTAACCCCGCCCGTGGTATGGTTTATCTACTCTACCAAGGTTTTTGCCACTATACTTCCCGTCCTTGGAACTCAAGTCTAGTTAGCGGATTTCCTTAATTTTCTACTATAGGTTACCTTGCTAACCCGCTAACACGTTAAATCCCTCCAAAAACAAGTCTGCATTCCCCTTTCCTGTCGTACTGGCAACTAGCTTACTAGATACCCACTCTCTTAGCACTCAGTACCTCGTCACCTCTTTCCTCTAACTCTTCCAGGAGCTTAAGAAACATCCTGGAGAGCAAAACGTTGCCACAATAGAATATCACACTAGTTGCATTTATGTCAATTTACTCAACATATTATTGTCAGTAATTCTACCAATATATATATATATATATATATATATATATATATATATATATATATATAATATATATATATATATATATATATATATATATATATATATATGTCGTGCCGAATAGGCAGAACTTGCGATCTTGGCTTAAATAGCAACGTTCATCTTGCCATATAGGACAAGTGAAAATTTGTGTATGCAATAATTTCCCCAAAATCATTCTGAACCTAACGAAAAAAGTATATTTCACTGTGTTTGTTTAGTATTAAATTACTGTAAACAAATCTAAAATATATTTAGTTGGGTTACGCTAAAATAAATTGTTCTTTTTATAATAAGGTTAGGTAAGTTTTCTAAGTTCCTTTTGGTGCAAAATTATAAATTTTTACATCAACATTAATGAAAAAAATATATCTTTAAACGTATAAGAGAAAATTTTAGAAAGGACTTAATTTTAAATGAGTTCTTGCTAATTGACCAGTTTTACATATTCGGTACGACATTTATTATATATATATATATATATATATATATATATATATATATATATATATATATATATATATATATATATATGTACATACATATCGACATTACGTTTTATTGGCAGTATTCGTCTTGGCGAAGATTCCAGCAACGCAGTGCGTTACCACTGACACCACTAACACTCTGGGCACTTGTATGTCGTCTTATCAATGTACTACTTCTGGAGGAGTGTCTAAGGGCACCTGTGTTAAAGGACTGGCCGTCTGTTGCTTAAGTAAGTACACATCAACACTGTCTCTGATGGTCATTATCTGAGTGACGCTGAGGCTCTTGCTTATGCAAGGTAGTACAACACAGGAGAGTAACGACCTTGTTACTGTAGCATCATGTAAGGTAGTACAACACAGGAGAGTAACAAACTTGTTACTGTAGCATCATGTAAGGTAGTACAACACAGGAGAGTAACAAACTTGTTACTGTAGCATCATGTAAGGTATTACAACACAGGAGAGTAACAAACTTGTTACTGTAGCATCATGTAAGGTAGTACAACACAGGTGAGTAACGACCTTGTTACTGTAGCATCATGTAAGGTAGTACAACACAGGAGAGTAACAAACTTGTTACTGTAGCATCATGTAAGGTATTACAACACAGGAGAGTAACGACCTTGTTACTGTAGCATCATGTAAGGTAGTACAACACAGGAGAGTAACGACCTTGTTACTGTAGCATCATGTAAGGTAGTACAACACAGGAGAGTAACAAACTTGTTACTGTAGCATCATGTAAGGTAGTACAACACAGGTGAGTAACGACCTTGTTACTGTAGCATCATGTAAGGTATTACAACACAGGAGAGTAACGACCTTGTTACTGTAGCATCATGTAAGGTATTACAACACAGGAGAGTAACGACCTTGTTACTGTAGCATCATGTAAGGTAGTACAACACAGGAGAGTAACGACCTTGTTACTGTAGCATCATGTAAGGTAGTCCAACACAGGATAGTAACGACCTTGTTACTGTAGCATCATGTAAGGTAGTCCAACACAGGATAGTAACGACCTTGTTACTGTAGCATCATGTAAGGTAGTACAACACAGGAGAGTAACGACCTTGTTACTGTAGCATCATGTAAGGTAGTACAACACAGGAAGTAACGACCTTGTTACTGTAGCATCATGTCAAGGTAGTACAACACAGGAGAGTAACGACCTTGTTACTGTAGCATCATGTAAGGTAGTACAACACAGGAGAGTAACGACCTTGTTACTGTAGCATCATGTAAGGTAGTACAACACAGGATAGTAACGACCTTGTTACTGTAGCATCATGTAAGGTAGTACAACACAGGAGAGTAACGACCTTGTTACTGTAGCATCATGTAAGGTAGTACAACACAGGATAGTAACGACCTTGTTACTGTAGCATCATGTAAGGTAGTACAACACAGGATAGTAACGACCTTGTTACTGTAGCATCATGTAAGGTAGTACAACACAGATAGTAACGACCTTGTTACTGTAGCATTCATTGAAGGTAGTACAACACAGGAAGTAACGACCTTGTTACTGTAGATCATAGTAAGGTCAGACAGACACAGGATAGTAACAGACCTTGTTACTAAGCAATCATGTAAAAGTAGACAACACAGGATAGTAACGACTTGTTATGTACAATGTAGGTAGTTACAACACAGTGATAGTGGACGACTTGTTATGTACATCATGTAAGGTAGTACACAAGGAGTGTAACGACCTTGTTATGTAGACTCAAGAATGGTAGTACACACAGAGAGAGTGAACGTACATGTGTTACTGTAGATCAAATATTAGTGTGGGACACACAGAATGATAGTACACGACCTAGTTACTGTGCAGATACATAATGAGATAGATGTCACAGAATACGAATTCAAATTGACAAATCTTGATTTAGGAAGGATATAGAAATTATTGTTCAGAAATAGAGTCATCAATGAGTAGAAATAATCTTATAGTACCGTCACTAAAGGCTAAAATTTAGGGCTGCTTTAAAAATTAAAATCAAGCACTGGGACTGATTTGAGTGGACTCACAGAAGAGTTAGTTGGGACTCACAGAATGAGTTAGTGTGGACTCACAGAATGTGATTATGTGGACTCACATAATGAGTTAGTAGGGACTACACATGAATGGGTTAGTGTGGGATCTCACAGAATGTGGTTCTTGTGTGGACATCACGAATGGGTTATGTGGACTCACAGAATGAGTTATGTGGGACTCACAAATAATATGGGGACCACAGAATGGTTAGTGTGGACTCACAGATGAAGTTAGTGTGGTACTCACAATACGTGTTAAGGTGGGACCTCACAGAATGAATTATTGTGGACTCACAGAATGAGATTAGTTTGGGACTCACAGAATGATGTTAGTGGGACTCACGAATGAGTTAGTGTGGGACTCACGAAATGGGTTATGTGGACTCCACATGAATGACAATTGTGGGTTATCAAAGGTAAAATCTTGGGTAATATTAAATGTTGGACAAATAATTCAGTTTGAAGATTTATATTCAAGAAGAACCTGCCTAGTATGGGCCAGTAGTCCTGCTACAGTGTTTCTTAATTCTTATGTTCTAAAGAAACTTGAATAACAATCCTTCTAAATGCAATAATATCACAGTTAACAGGTGATAAAATATTGAATTTTCAAGGACTTTCGTGATTTCTCACGTTGTCAAGGAACTGTGACAGTTCCTTGATAATGTAACAAATCACGAATGCCCTTGGAAATTCAATATTTTTTTTAAACCGTGGTTATTTTTCAGTATTTCTAAATAACACAAAATGGGACAAGTAAGGCCTGGACGAGGCTAAATAAGATTTATTACAACTGGTATACAATTCCTACCAGTTGATAAATAAGACGCATACACACCACTAGGAACCTTTATCATTATTTTAGCACTTATGGGCATGTGATTTACGTCCTGTTCCCTCCCCACCAGTTACGAGGACTTGTAAAGCTACGTCAAGTCTGAATAACACGCACTTCGTCAACCCCAGCGCCAGCAACACGGAGCTGGGAGCCTGTACTCTGACCATCAACCACATGAACGACAACATCTGTCAGATGAGACTTGACTTTATCTCTCTTGAGCTCAGTCAACCAGATACGAACGGCAATTGTGCAACTGATTTTCTGGCTGTGACCGGAGGAGTATCCGACGTTCCCATGATTTGCGGCTCCAATAGTGGCCAACACAGTGAGTATACGTGACCAATAAAGTAGATATTGGCAATAAAGTGAATAGATATTACCGATACAGTGAGTAAATGTTGACATGATGTGAAATACCAACAGTGGCCACCACCCTGAGTAGATATTGCGAGCAAATGTTTCCAAGATATGTAACACCAACAGAGACCAAGAGAGTGCGTGGATATTTCTTCCTCTCTTTATCCCTTCCCTGTCCTCATTTCGTTTATTTACCGGCTCATTTTCCTTCGTGTGTTAGGGTGACTAATTAATGGTCCAAGTCGGACCGAAACGTCGTCATAAGCTTCTCTCAATGTGAGAGTTATGTGTGTATTTCCAGGGCATGTAATACCAGCAGTAATTAGTTGTTCCTGGGATTTATAACACCAGCACAGTGAGCAGATGTTTTTTTAAGAATTTTATACAATCAGTTGCAATATGAGATAATGATGAATTAGACACATGTGCAACATCTGGGTATATTTATTTTTAAGACGTTTCGCCCTCCAGTGACTTTATCAATGCAATACAAGGACATAATGTGAAGACTGTAAAAATATACATACAGAAAATAGTGAATAACGAGGTAAGAGGAGAATTACCAAAATATATGTTACTAATTCCTCTCGGTCACTTGACCGACAGATATTTCACCGAATAAACATATGGCAGTAATGATATTCAGTTTTCCTTCGGTCAAATGTCTTTTGGCCAAGTGTCCGTCGGTCATGTGTCCGGCCAAGGTACTAACATTGTTCTACACGAGTGAATGTCTCTGTAAATTTTGATACAGAAAGTAATGATAGAATTTTAAAATTTCCTCGTAATCTGTGTTCAAACTATTTGATTGTTGAAGGTACAAGACGCATCAGTTTTTTAACTGCATAAATACATGTGAAAATAACAAGGAGAATGTAACTTGAATACACACTTATAAAACCAAGAACTACACTGTAATATTCCCCCATTATAAACCAAGAACTACACTGTAATATTCCCCCATTATAAGCCAAGAACTACACTGTAATATTCACCCATTATAAGCCAAGAACTACACTGT